CTGTTACCGGAACCGAACAATGTACAGGACTCCCTGAGCTAGTCGCATCCAAAGCCATATCTAGAGCCCTCACATTCTTACTATCCTCAATTAAAGTTTGAATGCGTGTCTCTAATTCTGAAACCTTCTGGAAACGCGTGTGACAAGCTAACCGGCTAATGAATGCTAATGCCCTGCACGCGCGGTTTTAGAATAAAAGCGAACGATCAAATTAATCAGATTAGTTTGATATATAATATCAGAAATAAGGTGGGAAATAAGTTATGGTTTATCACTTTAAACAACAGAGAGTGATAGTAAGTAACTACATGAAGCTACAATCGCAAACCACTCTGCAGCACGACAGACCAACTCTACTTATATTCGAGCAGCGTCACAGATGTAGTGTTGTAAGGATCTTGGTGGTCTTCCGATAGCACATGAAGACAGCAGAGAAGGAGCCCTTCGGTCAAGTCAAGTCAAGTCAAGTCACCTTTATTTATATAGCGCTTTTAACAATACAGCGGCTCTTCTAAGGGAGCCGAGCCAAAAGAGCTGCACTCGTACTCGCACTCGCCCATCAAGTGTTGTACCGCGCCGCACTCTGTTGCATTGGGTCAAGCGATAGTGCAGGTCTCTACTCGGAAGGTGCCTGTTATAATGTTATGATCGAGGCTCTGGACAAACATTACTTGTCTTTCTATAGCAAACTATAACATATTTTCTATAAAAACGTTAATGCCCTGGCAGTGGCAAATAACTTTGGTTTTATATTTAATTTGATTACATTAATTTTATAAGTTAAGATTTCCAAGAAATATTTTAACTGCTACTATGTAAAAGGAATACTGCTGTAAAAAAGCACCTTATTTGTTTAAAGTGTTTGCAAACAGCGCACACATGGATGCTCCTGATAAAATTTAGGTTAAGCATCAACATTCACAAACCACTGTTCACTATTATTTTTAACAGAAAAGAATGCAACATGCTCGTAAACATGACTTCATAAGTGGGAAATAGGAAGTTTCCGATACCACATGAAGACAGCAGAGAAGCGCTCTCGCTCAACACAGTGGAGTGCATCGTTTTGTTAACTTTGTGGTTTATTGTTTTGATTCGTTTGGGATTATTGTTATTAATGTATTTTATTATTAAAGTTTTAATAAAATGTTAAATAATAATATCTGTGTACTTTTTTTTTGTAACTAAAAAAAGCATAAAAATAAGGCTTTTATGAAAACACTGAATAAAAAATTGCTTACCAACACACAAACCATTCACAATTGCTAAATTTGGCTAAAATAGAAGGCTCAGAGTGATACTAAATAAAGAGCCATTTGGGAGCCGTAAGAGACGGCTCTTCTAAGGGAGCCGAGCCAAAAGAGCCGAATCTTTGAAAAGAGCCGAACTTCCCATCACTA